GGTATGGTTCAAGTATGGTTTTGAGAGATACATGTACGGGTATGGTTCAAGTATGGTTTAAGTATGAAACCATTCTCAGATTTATTTGCAGCCTACCCGTAGATCAGATCAGTGCCCCCACCCCTTCTTGCAGGGCTGGCCCATAGACCGAGCAAACAGGGCCACGAGAAAATGAGGGCCACAAATATCAACTATACTAGTAACTACAATACTATTGTCCAATACGAGATTATTTCATATCTGTTAGAAAAGGCTCAATTAGCACAATAAACTCCAAACTAAAAACCGACAACATGTACCAAGTAGGAACAAACCAATCTGATTGGTGACAACAAGATTTGTTGGACTTCTAGTTTCCTTTTAATCGATGTCCCAAAGGCCATATTGAAGCTCTGTTAACTATATTATCATGTTTAATTCCATGCATGTTTTCTTATTCGAGAAACATGCATGAGTGCTTTGTAAACAATAGACGATAGCCGACACATTTATGGTGTGAAACTTAAATAATCAAATCTTATTTATACATAGTAAAAAAACACAACATTTTTATGTTTGCGAGTGATTACTATTAATGGTGCTATTTCTAGTACCACATACCGAGCATGCACACATTATTACTTTATTATTAAACCACAGTAACTTTTAATGCACATTTGACCATGAAAAATACAGCAAAGAACAATACCAACGTTTCAAATTTTACCCTAGAAGTTTCTACAAATATGCTTACCTAATCATATATTAAAAACCACTAGTAAGACATTTGATGGACACATGCTTTCGAGATCTCTCCGAATATATTTAAAGATTTTAAAATATACATGAGCACACATAACACGCACAAATATATACACGTATACACCTTATGTAGTTCATGTAGCAGTCACAAACATGTTTAATGAGCGGTGCACTTTTGTCAATTTCCTTTTACAGTAAGGATATTCAATTTCAAGATCTTGTTAAGAGTTAGTGTCTCAAAGGAGAAGGAAAAATGGAAATTTTCTATACAAAATATATCTTAAAGTTACCAAAATGTAAAGTGGTTTAAGTTATATACATTGTATTTGTATAACAAATAACTAATACTTAGCAACATCATTTTATTGTTAATTATGCTAACCAATATTAATAATATACTCCCTCCGTTCCAAAATAGATGACCCAACTTTATACTAACTTTAGTATAAAGTTGGGCCATCTATTTTGGAACGGAGGGAGTACTTGTTAAAATTTAATTCTAATTAGAGTGAATTATAAATAAGTATAAACTTCTGTATAAATTTATGTCAACCCGCTTTCAAGTGAAGAGAAAAAAAGGTGACGGGTCATGGCAAAGTGTGGAAATCAAAATCTGTGTCGCTCTCTTATTGATACAATTGACAAATATTTTGTTTAAGCCATCTGCTCCCCACGGTCTATCATGAGTGTTGACAAATTTCAAATATGACATGCCTTTACCCAAATCATAATCCACTAATGTATCTAGGTATGCAGCAGACTTCACGCTAGGGTTGTAGGATCGAGTAAGTGACCAATAGCCGTATATCTTATATCTGAGTTTGTCAAACTCTGTAATCCCTCATAGTCTACAGCTATTCGGAAGGGGAAACTTCCTATTATGATCGTTTTGGTTCTATCATATAATTAACAAACCTAAAGTTTATAAAAATACATCAACTGCCATGAAGGGGTTTGGCAAAAGAGGGTAAGATGTGAACTCATTAATCTTTATGGGCGTGTGAAGACTACTGAGAAGTTGTATGACAATATTACTTCATCGTTGAACACGGGTCACGACAAGTAGTTCATATCTCGTAACATATTTAGAAAAAATGTCACACATCAGACAACACTAAATGTAAGGCCAACTTTGAACATTGTTAACATGAGCTGCATAATGGCACACACAAGAAATGCATAAAATGCACATGTTGGCCCATTCTGCATGAACGACTCCGAATCAAGAACAAGACTCTGGCCTCATATTATGTGGATGAAATACTTGACTCGCATTTCTTTGGCAATTTCATTTTCTTGGAAATATAGCATATACAAAACTAGGTAATCACGGATAATATGTCTCGCATATACCCATTTTTTCTGCAATACTGATTTGACCTGACTTGTAGTAACCAAGCACCCGGCCCAATTTGCGAACTCAATGAGGTGCAACATAAAGTATCATTGGCCTGCAGATATCCACAACTACGATTCCTTGAAGCAGCAAGCATGGAGGGACACGCCTAGTTTGAGAAGGGAGTAATAATTAGTAACCTGTGGTTGTGGGTAAGCAGTGGTGTGGAGGAAGGGAAAGAGGGCAGGGTTGGGGTTCCAGGTCGGACTCGTGGGTGGTGAGAGCAACTGTGTTGGGACGGTTAAGGAGGAGAGGGTTTGGGGAGCATTCCTGGCCTCCCTCCTGTCCTGGGTGTGGGTTTGGGTAGGCCACTTTCTTTGGTTCATCTCTTCCGCTCCTTGCTTGCATTGGTGGGTAAAAACGAAAGGGAATATGGTATGTTTCGGTAAAAATACCATGACTATTTCAATCTTTGATGACGAGAGTAGGTGCAAACATGCATGGTATACAATGGAGATGCTAGATCGATGATTAGGTCGCATATGCATGCAGACATGTCTGCAATGACTGTGGTTAGCCGAGAAGGAAGCAATTGAAAAGAGGCGACTCTGGTAAAGTATGTTTTTTATGAGATGTGGTCAAGTCTGTTTTAGAACTGTGTTTCGTTCACGCGGACATACAAGAACGTTGCAGACTTGTCCGCGTGCATGCCTAGTTGCACGGTCGCACCACTATCAACTATGAATCATTCATGCCCGCAAGCCGCTAATGTAGTGACCAGGCAGACTCATGATTTTCCAAAATCACAACTTACGTGCGCATGGGTCCGAATTGATTATTTAGAACATTCAAATTCTCAGTTTTCAATCTTGTTTTTTGTCAGAGTCAAGATAGGTCTTAAAATAATTCCAATCGACAATGTTGGGTTGAGATTGAACAAGTACATGTGTCGACCTACTCCACCTGCTAGTTAGTACTCCGTCCATTCCTTTTCAGTTTGAATATAAATATTGTCTGAAGTCAAAGTATCTCTAATTTGACCAACTTATGGAAAAAGTATCAAAACTGACGATACCAAATCAATATCATTAGGTCCATCATGGAATTTAGTTTTATATTATATATATTTGGTATTATAGATGTTGCTATTTTTAATATAAATTTGGTCAAAGTTTGTAAAGTTTGACTTGACACAAATCTTACATACTCCCTCTGGTCCTTTTTACTCCATGTATTAGATTTGTATCAAGTCAAACTTTGCAAAGTTTGACCAAATTTATATAAAATAATATCTACAATATCAAATGTATATACTATGAAACTAGATTACATAATAAATCTAACAACATTAATTTGGCATTGTGAATATTTATACTTTTTTTCTATAAATTCGGTCAAAGTAGAGACAATTTGACTTCGGACAAAACTTATATACGGACTAAAAAGGACCGGAGGGAGTACGGGGTAAAAAGGAACAGATGGAATCCTAAGTGTGCTTTCTTTTCTAGTGACAAGGATGAAGCTTCAAAAGACCTATTTCTGTCTTTCATTCATCTCGTCCTATTTTATTCTTATTTGTGACTAATAAATGTGTGTGTGCAATGCAAGTTGATATTAGGAAAAGCAAGTCACATTCGTGGTCCTCGAAGAGCCATGTAACATGGTGGAGTAGCAAGTTGCAGCGCAATAGACACTGGACTCCGTCCATCTTCGGGAAAGCTGATCTAGGCTAGGGGAGAGAGTGATGTGTCGCAAAACCCGCCATAAGTGAACGTACTGGATCATTGCCACAGGTCCAAGCGCGCCCGCAATGTCACGGATCCAGGTGCGCTGCTGTAGGCCATCCCGAGCCATCCGAATCTTGCAGCATCTCCGGGGAACTAGGTCATAGATTGTTCATTCTATCTTGCAATAATGTATTTACAACCTGGAAAAAGTAGTAGTGACAAGATAACACATAGCAAAATGCGAGTTCGTCCAAGCTAACTGTGGTAATTCAAAAAATGATTGTTATTTTGAGAAGTAATTTCATATCGAAGCCATATTACATAAAACAACTATCCATATCGAACTCTCTCAACATGCAATCATGTCAACTCGATATGTCATCATGCATGAAAAAATCCACATTAATATGCATGCATGCTACTTATATTCAATAAATATTCTACAATGATAAATAATCAAATAGAATGAATTATACATATTCTAAGTTCATTTCTCATAGTCCGTATTACTAATCGATATACTAATATTACAACCAAATTTCACTGAAATAATTCCAGTCAGTTCCCATCAAACACCAGTATGTTATTATCTCTTGTATATGATAATTCTCCCCCTAAAGGACTTGTTGCCCGCCAACCGTCAGTCTCAATCAGGACTAAAATACCCAGCTATTCCTTTGTTTTCACCCAATATTTTTTGTGAGAACTTTTAATTATTGATCGGACTAACCAGCGTATGATGCATGTGTATGGAATTTGCTTGATCTTTTCAATGAATACTGATAATATAATTACGTACTAAACAGAAATGCCTTAAGTCGCTCCAAACACACAACATTTTAGAATAATCCTTAAATCTAGACGAGGCATGGCACGTACCATGTACTAGTACAGTTAGATCAGAAGGCTGCTAGCTCACCGTGCCTTCCAGTTCCAGTTAAACAAATGCTCACCACCCAACTACCCCTACCCGTGGAAGGGATGAAGAGACGTGGGCGCGAACGTGTGTCTGTCTTGGCTGTCCATGATGCCATCATGGCAGCTGCAACCACACTCTCACTACCCACTCCTATCATGTTCGATTCGATCTCGTCCAACGATATATATAATGCCGGTCGCTCGATGCGAATCCCCGGGATCCCAGGCCAAAGTTGCAGTGTGGTTCTAGGCAACTAGCTCGCTAGCACTCTCAAGCAATGAGCTACCAGCTGATGAAGAAGGCCAGGAGCGAAGCAACACAGCACAAGGCGTCGTCTTTGTCTTTGGAACAACAGCAGGAAAAGGTAACTTCGATTCACGCCATCAGGTGGAGTTTCTTCTTCGAGTTTGTCTTTGCGTGAATTCCCGTCGGCCATGGTTGCATATATGTATGTGTTTCGGTTGACTGTTTTCAGTTCAATCACGAAAAGGGAATAAGGTTCTATAAGGCAGCATCGGAAGATTCTGCAAAATTTCTTTTTCTGCCACTCGCCGTGCCCTTTTTCCTCGAAATTGAGGCAAAAGTTTTCCCTCGTCTCATTAATCTACCTACCTATGGATCTATTATTCTGTAGTATATACTAAAACACAATACAAAGTTCCAAAAAGAAAAACACAACACAATGTTTTTCTAAGACGCCACGTGAATCTACATCATCCCAATTATTTTGCAAAGTTAGATCTCTAATTTATTCGTAGGATTTAATAATACCAACAATTCCTCCATCCACATCGAAAGGATCTGCAAAATTTCCTTTTCATGCTTAACCGTTAAGTGTACCTTTCTGGCACTCGCCGTACCTTATTTCCTCGAAACAGCCTCAAAAGTTATGCCTCGTCTCATTAATCTATCTATCTATTTATCTATATATCTATTGTATACTATATACTAAAAGCATAATACGAGGGTTTTTTTTGAGACATCACGTATAGCCACATCATGCCAATTATTTTGGAAAGTTCTGTAGTTATCGTTAGGATTTAATAATACCAGCAATTCCATCCGTTGTAGTAAGAGCCCGTGTTCCATACGGAGATGAGAAGAATAGTTGCTTTATAGTAGTTAAATAAAAGGTGCTTCCTCCTATTTCTTTGTGTGAGAAAACTTCCAATCTATTCATCTTCAATCATGGCAGTATAACGAACATAGTAAATAAAAAAAATACATCCAGATCCATATACCACCTAGCGACGACTACAAGCAATGAAGCAAGCCGAAGGAGCGCCGCCGTCATCGCCCCTACCTCGCCGGAGCTGGGTAAAACTTATTGTAGTAGACAGTCGGGAAATGGTCCTTCTAAGGCCCCATAGTATAAAAGGTGGTTCCTTCATCCACATATATGAGTCACAATACATTTTTAGATTAACTTTGGCCATGGGTTGGAGTGTACAAAAAATATACCATTAAATTCGTATGTGAAAGGAGTTTCTAATGATACAACCTTTATATCGTACATTTTATATATCATTAATTTTATCAATGGTCAAATGCAATCTTGAAAAATGTACGAGGCCCCAAATATTTGGATGCAGTATGTGTTGGTCCCTAAAAAAACGTACGTGTTGGGGCCTATGTCCCAAAACAACTATAATTGGGTGGCGCACAAGTAAAAGAAATACAACACTATAGATTATAAATTGCTATGCTTAGCAGTGTGAATGAATGAGCATACAAATATAACAAAAATTATCATATTAATAACTAGAATAGGAATCATTAGATAGATACAAAAAGTTTATAAAATTAATTATTTAAAGGTTGCAGTCTATTTTGCATGTAATATTTTCATCCAAGAGTTCTTTTGAATTGTTCATATAATGCACTAAAGTAAAGCTTTTACAGAATCACTATGAAGTAAAAAAAACACGAACATTCATTTCTTTCTTAGATTAGGGGTTTGGTCTATATGGTCAACATCTCAGCACACCGATTGTTTATGCATTTATTCTGGAACACATATAATAGATATACCTGATTCTATGTTCTAGCCAATTAAGCAGTGAAATAGAGGCAATCCACGCGAGGCATAGATAAAGTGACTATCCAGCTATTACAAAATAATACATGAAGGACACCCATTCTTATCCTTAGATCAAATAGCTACAAATTGTCACGCTGATCTAACATAGTGTAGGAATTATTGGATACAAAAGGCGTAGTACGACAGAAAAGTAAGATACACTATGAATCTACTATAGTTAAACATCATAACAACAACAATGTTTTAAGTAGATTCAAAGTACTAAAATAGAAACAAATGTTTTACAAAACAGTTTATTTAAACATTGTACTCAACAAGTTTTATTTTCATCGGAGAATTAATTTGAATTTTCCACACTAATGTAATTAACAAAACTGTTACAAACTCCAATGTTAATAAACTATATTTTTTCCTAAGATTAGCCATTTCTTCCGTATGCTCAACATCTCAACATTGATTACTCATGGATCTATTCTGAAACACATACAATATATTTACCCGATTCTACGTTCGATGAAGAACACCCATTCTTATTCTTAGAGAAAATAGCTACAAATGATCACTTTGATATTGAATAGTTAACTAATTATGGATCTATTTATTGGATACAAAGATATAGTGCGACAAAAAGAAGAGATATATGCGTGCATAAATAAGCATACACATATAATAAAAATAAGCATAATAGGAATATTTAAAATAGAGATAAAAGGTTCAGAAAATTATTTATTCAAAGATGGGACTCAAATTCGCTAGTGTTATTGTGACCGAGAATTCTTTCAATTGTTCATACTAACGAACTAAAATAAAGCTCTTACAAACTCACTATTAATAAAAAATCATGAACATTATTCTTTTATTAGATTAGGGGTTTGGTCTATATGGTCAACATCCCAGCACAAAGATTATTGATGTATTTATCCCGAAACACATATAATAGATTTTTTTTCAATTCCATGTTCTTGCCAAATAAATAGTGAAATAGAGGCAATCCATGCGAGGCATATATAGGCAAATATCCAGTTGTTCCAAACTATTATATGAAGAACAACCATTCTTATCCTTAGATCAAATAGCTACAAATTGTCATGTTGATCTACCATAGTCTAGGAATTATTGGATGCAAAGACATAGTGCGGCAAAAAAAAAGATATACTATGAATCTATTGTAGTGAAACATCCTGAAAATAATCATATTTTAAGTAGATTAGAAATACTGAAATGTACACACTTTGTTTATATTTTTTTATTTACACACTGTACTCATGTTTACATGTGTTATTTTCATCGTAGAATTCTTTTGAAAATTTCACACTAACTTAATTAAAGTAAAAAAAATTACAAACTCCAATATTGATTAAAAAATCATGAACAATTGTTATTTTCCTAAGATTAGGTGCTTTGTTCATATGGTCAACATCTTAGCACATTGGCTATTAATGAATTTATTCTGAAATAAGTATAATATATTTACCTGATTCGATGTTTTGCCAAATAAGTAGTGAAATAGAGGCAAACAATGTGAGACACATATAGGCGGCTATCCAGTTGTTGCAAGAAAATTATACGGAAATACCCATTCTTATTCTTAGAGAACATAACTACAAATTGTCATGTTGATATTACAATAGTCTACCACTTTTTGGATCTATTTATTGTATACAAATATACAACATGACAAAAGAAAGATAGATATACGATGAATCAACCATAGTAAAACATCAACCTATCAGCCTAGGTCGAACGGATTAAGAAAGGCAATCATTCACCTAACTGGTTCATCTTCCCAAGTGTACCTAAAGAGATTACAATAAATAGACCATCATTTTTTTGTAAGCAAGTACCATATTAATATCTTATAAAATTAAGATATTGTCAAAATTCAACAAAAAAGCAAAACCACCCTTCGTCTATATGGCATCCTACTTTTATTAGTACCATGATATCAATGGCCATATCAAAAAATAGCTCAGTGGTGCCAAGAGATGGTAAAAATTATGTTGGTATAGACATGAAACAGTAAAAGCATTGCATATATTATAATGCTAATATTGTATTGACTTCATTAAGCGGTTCATTCCATTTTCCCAAATTGTTTTACAAGCACCAACAAAATATTCATATAGTAGTGTGTGCGTATAAAAAAATATACGACTCGTATATTTTCATGAAATGCCATATTTATCCTATTCCGCACTCTTTCCTTTCCCTTCCCCTCTTTCATTCTCCACCTAGGCCGACCCATATGGGGGGCGCACCAGCCCCTTGTGGCTGGTGCGTTTCCCCTCTTGGCCCATAAGGCCCATATCTTTTGCCGGGGGTGCCCGGAACCCCTTCTGGTGACCCGATAAGTACCCGGTAACCCCCGAAACACTTCCGGTGTCTGAATACACTCGTCCTATATATCAAACTTTACCTCTCGGCCATTTCGAGACTCCTCGTCATGCCCGTGATCTCATCCGGGACTCCGAACAATATTCGGTCACCAAATCACATAACTCGTATAATACTATATCGTCATCGAACGTTAAGCGTGCGGACCCTACGGATTCGAGAACTATGTAGGCATGACCGAGACACCTCTTCGGTCAATAACCAATAGCGAAACCTGGATGCCCACATTGGCTCCTACATATTCTATGAAGATCTTTATCGGTCGAACATTATGACAACCTACGTAATTCTCTTTGTCCATCGGTATGTTATTTGCCCGAGATTCGATCGTCGGTATCTTCATACCTAGTTCAATCTTGTTACCGCAAGTCTCTTTACTCGTTTCGTAATACATCACCTCGTGACTAACTCCTTAGTCGTTTGCTTGCAAACTTATGATGTGTATTACCGAGAGGACCCAGAGATACCTCCCCGATACTCGGAGTGACAAATCCTAATCTCGGTCTATGCCAACTCAACAAACACCTTCGGAGATACCTGTAGAACATCTTTATAATCACCCAATTACGTTGTGACGTTTGATAGAACACAAGGCATTCCTCCGGTATCCGGGAGTTGCATAATCTCATAGTCGAAGAAATATGTATTTGACATGAAGAAGGCAATAATAGCAATAAAACTGAACGATCATTATGCTAAGCTAAGAGATGAGTCTTGTCCATCACATCATTCTCCTAATGTTGTGATCCCGTTATCAAATGACAACTCATGTCCATGGTTAGGAAATCTTAACCATCTTTGATCAACGAGTTAGTCTAGTAGAGGCTCACTAGGGACACGATATTTGTTTATGTATTGACACATGTATCAAGGTCTCAATGCAATCCTAGCATGAATAATAAACATTTATCATGAATAAGGAAATATGAAATAACAATTTTATTATTGCCTCTAGGGCATATTTCCTTCA